CGTTGTAGCATGTTATGATTGAGTTGGAGTTGTTCAGTGCGAGTGTGGAAGTATTGAAGAAGCAAGGAGGTATCATTAAGATCAGAGACACTGATGTGAGTATTGAATGGGTTATTGGGACCAGAGGATGTGGCATGGAGTGTAGGTTGTGGGAGCAATTCAGGGAGGAGTGTATCATCGCGGATGGAGTGAGAGATAGAATGTTGATGTAAGAGTTGGAAGAGGGAGGATTTATGTTGTGGAGTGTATTTACCTCGGATGTTGATGATAACTTCTTTAGGGAAGTGTGAGTGTTGTATGAGGGAGTCTAAAGGGACATATTGATTTTTGTATTTGATTTGCCAAGAGTCAGATTCATCAGAGAAGAGGACATTGATGAATCCTTTAGGGTTGTAGACGTTATGGTGTGTGATGGATGAGTTTTGTAGGTCCCAGATGGAGAAGCCGTGATTGATGATATCTTCTTTACGATGTTGTTGTATGAGACTGCCTGAGTAACCCCAGAGTGTGCCGAATTTGTTGATGCCATGTTGTCGGAGGTGGATATCACCGAGGACGAGGAATTGGAAGTCTTTAGTCCATTCGAAGGGGTAGATGGATGGTTTAGGCAGATCATCGGGTGTGCCATTGAGATCAGGGGTGAGGATGGATTCAGAGAGGAGAGTGCCAGTGAAGGTGCCATGGAACAGGGCGACGACGTGTTCAGGTGTGGAAAGACCCTGATCGATACCCAGATCCTGATCCTGATGGAAGTTAGTAGGGAAGGGTGGGAGTGTGGAGAGTCTGCCGGACTTGCGTTGAAAGTCGAGTGTATCTTTGACGGAAACGGTGGTGAAACCAACATTATGTATTTGTAGTGTTTTGGTGGTATCGAGGATGTGAAGGTTGGGGACATCGAAAGCGATGGCGGAGACCAAACAGGGTGATTCAGATTCTTCTTGTTTGATGTCATGGTTGCCTGGGATGACAATGACGAAGGTGATCTGAAGTAGTTTAGTGAGAAAGGTCTTTGTAAAGGTCGAGTCCATAGCTGGAGGCGATGCCTTTGCTATCGAAGATATCACCAGTGATAACGATGATAGAGTTGTGTGGGGTGATGTGTGGTTTGTCGATGAAGACTTGATTGATGGAGTGAACAAGGTTATTAAAGACTTGTTTGTATTCATAATATCTGGAAGAGTGTATGTCACCCTTATGGATATGGATGT